ATGGAACCACTCTGGATAGGCTATTCAGGGTTGACTGTGCCGCCTTAACATTGTCGAAAAGCAAGACGATATCGTTCGCATAATCTAGATCAACTAACCTTTCACCAGGCAGCACTTCAACGCCTACATCATGAGATTCCGCAAGGGAACACTCCATGATAGAATCCACAACGAAATTGAACAAAAATGGGGAAATCGGACGACCCTGACGAACGCCACTTGTAGTCGAAAAGTTATCCGATAGGGCACCATAGACCCTGACGCGGCCTGTAGTGTTCGAGTATAGAGCACGAAGGATGTTCACATATTTCGTGGGAACACCTTTTCGCGCAAGTAATCCGAAGAGAATCGATCGATCGACTGAATCGAACGCACTCTTGAAATCGAGGAACACAGCTATTGTCGGTCTGCGGTATGCGTGGCGCTGCTCTAGCACCTGCCGCAAAGTAAATATATGGTCTACACAGCTACGTCCTTGGCGAAAACCAGCCTGCTCTTCCCTAATCCGAGATTCCCGTTCTGCAGTGAGGCGACGAACGATAATCGAGGCCATTAATTTTGTCACAACTGGCGTTAGGCTAATACCCCTGTGGTTCGCACAGTCTATGCAACTGCCTTTCTTGTGTATTGCCACTATAATCGATTCGCTCCAATTAGCCGGCACACTCTCTTCGTTCCAGATACGTTCGAATAGGGAGGTCAATGCCCTGCAGAGGACCTCACCTCCATCCTTAAATAGTGCAGGTGGTAGGGAATCCGCGCCAGCGGCACGAAAACGATTGAGGGCTGTGATCAAGTTTCGGACCTCGGCCTCCGACGGAGGTTCTAAACTAACCGTCCATGGCACGTTCTGCATCACCTGAGTAGGAAGAGGTCCGGGAGCAGGGGGCCAGCTAAACTGATGTTCAAAGTGCTCAGCCCAATGAGCCATACGGCGCTCCTTATTGTGTATCAGCGCACCCGCGCTGTCCCTGATTGTCTCACTGACGCCTGGTTTTCTCGGACCAGTGGTGCGGATTAGCTGGAAGAGCTTCCGGTAATTGCCTACTACTCCTGCCTCCTCCATTTCTTGAGCCCGACTGGTCCATTAGGCTTCCTTGTCAGCACGTAGGCTCCGCTTTAGTTCACGCCTAATAGCCCGTCTGGTCACATTGTGTTCAGAACCAGCCGGGAGGTGTCTTCTAGCTTCCAACAGGTTTATGGACCTCTCGGATATCCAGTGACTGGTGCGGTGACGACTGATAGTGCCACAAACAGATGCTCCTGCGTCGTGCATAGCGGCCGAGATTCTATTCCACTGAAGTTCAGTGTCATTGGGACAAGACAGCGAGAGTCCGCTATGCAGTGCTTCTTGATAGGCTTGCCTGACAGAGGGCTGGGACCATTTCTCCGTTGCCAATTGGAGGAGACGCTTTGTGCGCCTTCCGGTAAAGTTCATGGAGAAACGACAGCGCACCAAGGCATGATCAGAGTCGACACAGGTACTCCAGTACGAGCGGCAATCCAGAATGGAACCGCGCCATCTGTAAATTACGGCTATGTGGTCAATTTGGGCCCATCGCTGACCAGCTACAGGTGGACGCCAAGTGGCACTTCGGCGCCCACTGTGTCTAAAAGCAGTGCTGCTAAGAAACAACTGGTGCTCCGCACACAGTTGCAGCAGACGCTCACCGTTGTCAGTCCGTTCGGCGTTAAGTCCATACTTACCACCCAGCTGAGCTTCTGAAGAGCTCAGACGCCCTACTTGTGCGTTCATATCCCCTGCAAGTACTATAATATCTGAACTAGTAGTACTGCGTAGCAGCGTGTTCAGTTGGTGATAGAAAGTGTCCTTGACTGCATTAGAACTGCAGTCGGTGGGAGCATAAGCAGAAATCACAAACAAACAGCGTTTTGTTTTACTTCGCGAATCCACCTTAGCTGATGTCGTCAAACGGGCTGCACATAAACGGCTGTTCACCGGAATCCAATCAACCATCGATGACTCAGCCTTGCAGCTGAGAATGATACCTATACCAGCTTGACCCGTGAGTGCCGCATCGGCGTCTCCGGATGCGTGCAACCAATAACGAGAAGATAAGCCGGGTGCAGTCAATTCAATAACCCCGTTAGGGTCATTAATCCTAGTTTCGGACACGCAACACACATCAACACCCAGTGTATCCAAGGTGCGTGCGAGTGCAGCCTGCTGACCTGTTTGTCTTAGAGTGCGAACGTTGAATGTCGCCATGGAAACGAGACGGCGTGGCCTTATAAGGGACTTTTGCCGATAGGTGCTGTGGGATGGTGGCTGCAGACGGTACTACTCCAGTAGCACTTCGGTTGCTGTCAATTAAGCTGGGAATTATAGAATCCAGCACAACAGAGTCCGTGCTTCTTCTGTGGCGAAGGAGCTCGTTCAGTTGGCGGTAGAAGTCGTTCTTTACCGAATCATCGCCACAGTTTGTGGGCGCGTAGGCTGCGATGATGAATAGACACCTAGTAGTCCCAAGCGACTTCGAAGCTTTGAAAGAGCCGGCCGATCGGACCGCACACATTCGGCTACTGATTGGGATTCAAGCAACCAGAGGAGTTTCAGCCCGGGGACTCAGAGCAATGCCAACACCAACTTTGCCAGTGCTCGAAGCTGCATCGTCACCGGATAGGTGCAATGAGAAAATACTGCTGGTGTCACCTGAAGGGGATTGCACAGTGAGCACAGAGCTCGGGTCCTGCATGTAGGTCTCCGATAAACAGCAGCTATCGATGGAGAGAGTCTCCAATGTTCGGGCAAGTGCTGCCTGTTGACCGATCTGTAGCAATGTGCGTACATTAAGGCATGCCAATCTGAAGGATGATCGAGGGCTCCAAATGGAAGTCCATGAACTGGGTTTGGGAGCTTGGTTGGACATGAGCTTGTCGACAGGAGAGGAGTGACGCTCCGCGTTTGTATTTGAGTTGAAACTGAAAGATAAACGCCTATCAAGGCATGTTGGGGGAGCGCCAAGAATCGGGGGTTGAAAACAGGGGGGATAAAAGTGAAGCTGGAACGGGACGGTAAGGGTGAAAAGCGCAAGAGGGGGAATAAGAAGATGGGAAGGCTTGAGCAGTAGCATCCAAACCCCTATCTACCCTGCCCGATGCAGCGGATAGGGCACCGTTGATTATCCTCTGCGGTGCCCAGAGCATCAGAAATTTGTTTGAAGTGTGATTCATTGTATTGCGTGGGCAGGATACTGTTAGGTTGCCCAGGCCTAGACAGGAGAACGATTAGGGTTCTCAACCAAAGCCTTTGGTTCAAAAACCTGACCGCAAAGGCAGTGGGTTTGGCGTTGGGCTACAAGGAGTCCGTTTCAAGGAATAAGGAGCCATTCTCATTCCAGCCCCAAGCCTGGAGGACCAGGAGACTGAGTTTATCTGACCTCTCATCATTGATCAACCTGGTAGGAGTAGATCTCAAGGGACCCGGGGGCGCCACCCAGTATGGCTCAATGGGTCAAGGAGATACGCAAACCGTCGCACCAAGTTAAGGTACAATCTCGTTGTGACGGCACCGTCGACCAACAATCGCAGTGTTCCTGTATAACCGCGTGGCATTCGATACAGTAGACATAGCTGCTTTTCGGAATTGTCTATTAAGGAAGGGTGTGCTCGGCAAGTAGATCGCCATTCTGAGGGAAGTATACAGTCGCACGTCGGGTGAAATTAGGGCTTACGGCAGAGTTGCCTCTTCGTTTGTTATCTTTTTTCACCTTTTCTCTTCAGTTTTGCCAGCGAAGATGTCGTGCAACGAGCGCCAGATGTCCAAATTTGCAGTGTTGAGATTCTCCTTGGCGCTCTAATCGCGGAAATGGACTACGCCGATGACATCGCTTTGCTGGGTGACGATCTGCAAACTGCCCAGAACATCCCGGACCGCTTAGCGATTGAGACATCCAATTTTGGCTTATGGTACACCTCAGCAAATTGTAAAGTGCTATTTCAGGATTAGCAGGGACCGGCGCCTGCGTTCACCATTGCTGGTGACCTTCTGGAACAAGTGGACTACTTCACTTATCCAGGGATTCGCATCACGGCTGGTGGTGGTGTTGGAGATGAGGTTTCACAGCACATTAAGAAAGCCCGTCTTACTTTCAGAAAACGGAGACATTTATAGTGTCGTCATGACGTCAGTCTCAAGCTCAAGGGCAGGGTGTACGATGCTTCCGTCCGTACGGTCCTGCTGTACGGCTGTGAGACTTGTCCTGTTCGCTCCGAAAACATGAGACGACTGTCAGCTTTTGACAACCGCTGTCTGCGAATGACCACTCGTGTATGGTGGCAACATCACATAAGCAATACGAAGAATCGTGAACGAGTGCTTGGAGCGAACAGCCCAGCCTTCAAAACGTTGTTCTCCAACATCGCAAGCGTTACCTCGGCAACGCTCTGCGGATGCCAGCCTATCACCTTCCCCGACGCTTTCCGGAAGGAATTAGAAAAAGTATCGGGATGGACAAGCAATGACGTGGAAAGGAGCAGGGAGAAAGCATCCTCAAGCTTAACTTCAGTCGGATCAGCGCGCCTCTCAGGTTGGGGACCACGTGACGCAGAATTCCTGTGGTTGCAAACACCGGCTGTGATGGCACGAAACAGACATCAGCGGCGCCAGTATTGTTGTGTGAATTTATCTGTTGATTAATCCCAAGTATATATTTATATATTTTTAAAAACCAAAAACGGAGCGTGAAACCCAAAAAAGCTTTTTTGTTGTTTGCTTTCGTACGCTTATTGTCTTCACTTTTGCTATGGTTCTGATGGCACATTCTGTATAGACTTGTGAATATATATATATATATATATATATATATATATATATATCATGAAGAGGCAGTAATCAAGCGGACGGAATGACTGAACTTATATCTCTAACAAAAACGTAATAAATTGGTGTCCAACCGCGAGTTGGGCGACTGGATGAACCTTAGTGAAACGATGGCCATGCAGACTGGAAATGCTACAGAGTGGAGAATGCCACTTACCAAGCTGATTCCCTCGAAAGAGAACATAACAATGCCGAAGGCTATCAATATCCCACGAAGCTCCGTGATCGCCGGCAAGGTGTCCAAAGGCTTCAATCCAGTAGAGAATAGATAGATGAAGATGAGGAGCGAGCCAAGCAGTGTGGCAAAATTGGCCAGCGTCGCGAGACGTGAAAGGATACGCATATTGCTGAACAAACACATCGGCACGAAGCACAAAGATGTCAGTACAGCGACCACATAAAAGTTGAGCGGTAAGTGTGGAAAGAATCCGTATAAAAACTAAAAGGAAGAACAACAGTGCAATTGTCTCTACCCACATTATGGCTAGCATAAAGGAGTTAATAATCAACTTTTGGATACATTTAAAGGTGCGAGAATAGACCGAGAAAAAGGCAGCTAGGTGCTTTGTCAAAAAATAATTCGCGGGTGAGCCTGTCCGGCGATAGATTTGTTGTCGAGCAGAGTAGAAATTATTAAAAAGAAGTAACACAAACAGGCATGGAACTAATCACTATCACATATGGATATCCAAACTTTGTGGATGACTGGCATTTCACCATTCAGACCGATGTTAAACTGACATACCTTGCCACACGACACGATTGTTAGGTTTGCTGGGTGCTTTACAATATAATTACTTTTCGAGCTTTTTGTGTCGTGTAGGAGTTGATTGCTACAACTCAAATGAAGCATAAAGTCGGTTCAATGTTTTTGAGAGGCTTGCAGCGCAACTGTACGGACAAGACACCGACTATCATGTAGGAAAGACATTAGGAGTTCGACCCAGTGTGCGCGTTGAGCTGTTCCAACCAATCTGACCGTAGGGTAAAACCATGGTCAATGAGGACAGACACTGATACTGTATGACGCGTTAGCAGTAATAATTACATGACGCGTTGAGAGGGGTCAAGCGACTCCTATCTTAAACGAGATGAGATAACCAGATCGCAAATCAGCCTAAGAGTAAATACCATTTTCTGGAAGTACGATAACGGTGAACAGCAGATGCAGCGCAAATCATACTAGCAGCCGCTCAGAGGCAATCGACGACCAAAGTCGCGCATCGAGGACATAAGACTGCTAGGCGACCCTGAACACATGTTTCATGGTCATAGCGTTATTCTGAGATAAAACTATTAGTGGTGCCAGTCTATGGCTCTGTATTTGGGGCAGTGAGACCTCACTGTTATGGCTACAAATAACGATATCAACAGTGCGCCAGAAACCTTGTTCCGACTATTCGCAGTCACGCAACCACAAGCGGTTACATACGAGGGTTAGGATGCTGCGGGGTTGTCCGCACTCATTAATAATCGAACCGGCGAGCCGCAGTGCACGAGACGAACATGTGTGACACGCTCAACCACCGCTTTCAACCAGATATCGAAGCAAAGCGAAGCACAGCCACAAAAGTAGGCACTTCAGGGGCCAGCAGCTTATCCAGCAAGAGCAAATCAGCCAAAATTGCAGCACATTTGATGAGAAGAACGTTTCGACTTATATTGTGCGTCAACTTCCAGAAGGGGTTAATGGGACCCTTCCTCTTACTCAGTTAAACAGAAGACAAGGAACGTCAGCCAATGAGCGGAGCCGCGAAGGCAGACGACAATGCATGCTTCGTCCAATGAACCAATTTATCAGGTTGGCTTCCACTGGCTGCCTGGTTAGTTACTTGGGTCCACCTGTTCATTCTGAATGGATGCTTTCATTACACACACCATACTGCACCACCAGTCGAGTGAGTGGCGGAAAACCCTGATGCAACAATGCGGATAGGGTCACCGGTAGAAAACTGACTCACTTGTATGAACACTAATAAAAGTAGGGTGATCTAGCGAACCGGGGAGAATAAATCGGTGGAAGCATTCAAAATGAGCGGTCGCAACGTTTGCGCCAATAGAGTGGATTACGGAATTAGACATTCGATGACATACGTTCTGAACGCAATTCACTCCCACTCACTAACAACAATGTGAGTTTTCTTGATGAAAGAACATACGGGCTGTCGACCGGTGTGGAATCGCATGGATCACAACTTAGTTCTATGTCAAATACCCTGCCGTGGGAAGGATAATACTTTGTTCCTCGATTTCAAGAGGGTGTACGAATCAGCTGACCGCTCCGTTTCGTCGGATACACGCTTGGGAAGGTTTTCCCATAAATTAGGTGAACGCTATACGTGTCCTGTACTCGAACACCCGACTCGCCTCAGTGTCTAAGAGAAATCGTCGGACGTCTTTGGGACATCAACTGGCACTTACCAACGCGGACCCATTCCAGATTTATTCGTGGAGTCACATAATGTATGCATTAAGGTGCTACTTGCGGAAAAATGATCATCTCAGATTACTCGGACAAGTCAACTTGCTGTCTGACCACCTCTAAGAGGTACATTCAACCCCTGACAAGCACTGCAGAGAGATCCCATCGTTTTACACGCACTTCAAACCTTCAAAGTGCACAGTGCTGTTGTATAAGTGCTAACCGAGCAGTTCAATTAGGACAAGTGATAGTGAGGGCTGAATGGGAAATAGTTTCACGGAACCACGTATCTGCACAGGAGCCAGTCGCTGGTTCCCACACTGTGCTGGTGGGGGGGGTGTCGGCTTTGACAGTGAATGCATGCCAGCACAAGTGGTGCGGTGGAAGTCGATGAAAAGTATCACTAGAACTTCGAGAGATTCTAGTCGGACAACTGATTAATCTAGTGGAAGTAACTCTATGGAGGCCCGATACAGTACAATGGATAGAGAAAATAAATAAACCGTTGAGGTCGGATCTTAAGGCGACAGGCATCCTAATCGAACAGAACCAGAATAGACTAGAGTGCGGAAAACTGGATTATCAGAGCCAGAAGGATAGTCATACGCAAGCAGTGCTGAAATGGTTGATACGGTGCTGCACGTTCAGGTATGGGCTTCGCACTTTCAAGGTGCTGCGCTGTGGAACCTGGACCGATAAAAAATCGGTCTTTCGTGCAAAGAGCTGCTACTCGAAGTAATCGATCAGTATGGTTGGTAAGTTGGGCTGAAATAGATCGGATAAATAACAGGATTCTGACCAGCTGAGCTCCACCACAACTAGATGTAAAGTGACTCCAACAGCGAAAGATAATAAACAAACGATCAGGTAAATGGTTGTTTAAAAAGGAAAGATTAGATAAGGCGGGTAACTGGTCCTCCGAGGGTAGTGAATCGGACAGGTGATTTATCAGAAAATAGCAAATTTCTACCTCTAAAAGAGCCGTGTCTGACAGTGACTATCTTTTCGAAAGAAAGATAATTGAAGATTCAAAACCGAACGCTAGAGTGCAATAAGGTGATTTTAGCCGAAGAGTTAAGTCACGGAACGGGGGTGATTCGGTGTAAGATCAATCAGATTACTCGCCAAGATCCACTCATCCGGTTCTGGGCTGTGAGAATCGACAAGCTCGGTCATAGCAAAGTTGGATGAAAACAGATCTGTAGGCGAGTAATTCTACATGTCCAATTCACCATAGAATTGTATACACTGATGTGACAAGAGAAAGGAATAAAAACTACGCCCAAGCGCTAAAAAAGTGTTAGGCAATGTCTTCACGGCCACTCTCACTATAAAAACTATGTCGAGGTTAAAAATAGCTAAGATATCAACCACAGGCTTTTGATCATAGGTTTTCTCACATATGTAAGAGACGTCGCTCTCAATGTAGTCTTAGTGTATAACATAACCGAAAGCCACCAGAATTAGCTACGTGCAGCCAAGTAGGGTCCAATGTGTAGACAGATGGTAGAAGAAAAGACTCCGAGTTTTCCTGACGGTGAACGCATTCAGTAAATTATGTAGGACCAACACCTAATTTTATGGGTATGCACTTGCGATGCCAATGACTAAGGTGGCTCTAAAGAATAGACAAGGAGCTTACATATCGAATATTCTCCGTGAGGAACAAGATATAGACACAACAGAATCCCGTTTGCGTGATTATTAGAAAAACGTTCACTGTGTGTCTACAAGCAAGGAAGGATGTGAATAGCTTAAACGAAAGAGCCTACTTAATTTTCCCCTTTGGTTTTCTCAGACAAGTTGGCCCATATTTGAAAACACTAAACACTGTCTCTGTGTAATCCATTTTTGAATGATCCAAATGGTTTCTGAAAGTAAAAAAGGTAGTGACTGTGGCTTACTTATCACGAACGGAACGAGATACGCGAACAAGTACGGCCATCAGGTAGGTGGCTAAAGCACCAGATAAAATAATGAGAAAGAAACCCGTCTACAATGACAAAGGACACATGGTATTAGTTAGCAGAAACATACCCACAAACCAGCATATCGCAATACGACTGGCATTGAAAGCATTCCCGTTCCAATATTCCCTTTGATGAAGTTCATCAAAGCGTATGAATCGCTTGACGATAATTCGGTAAGTTGAGAAATTTCATTTACCTGAGATTTTCACCGATAACATGTGATTCGTGAGCCTGTAACATAATGTTATCATCGTCATTTTCTGTGGTAGTGCTGTAGGAATCATCCATGGCGGAGGAGTTCCCATCTTTAGTAATCGGCTTGGTTTCATTGGTCATTGGGCCGATTGTATCCCGTACGTTGGTGGTTTGCAATCAAGTCATCCGAAACGGGGCTGAAATTCAAATTTAAATGGGACAGGAAATTCTCATGGTCGTTCCATCATGTATGCGTCATTAATCCACGTTAGAGTGCGGTGGCAAGATCGGCCAGGTTTGGGAGCCAAAGCAGCACGTACAAATCAAATCATGGTCAACCAAACAAAACCCACGCGCCCTGCGAAAGCAGTCCCCGCTGCGCCGGCCGCGTGAAATAAAAAAAGAAAATTGTATAGATATAAAGCGGAAGGGTACGGAAGAGGACAATGAAGAGGAAGTTAGTAAGAGTGAATAAAAAGGAAGGTAGCTGGAGAGCAAACAGAAACTAAATTAAGAGGAGAAGGGGAAGATTTGGAGCAGCAAGTTGAGGGCGTCAAGGCGACGTCTAAACTCTGTCACCGTAGATGACAAGACTACATCCTCACGCAGCGTGTTCCAAGATTCTATCACACCGCGTGACAAACGAGTGTCAGCCCGAACCCGATCAGATTTGAGTTTGTGCGATTTCATGGCATGCCTGCGGAGAGTAGGTAACTGTGTAGGATGGAAAAGCCAAGAACGGACTGTACATATCCACCGTCAGTATACGATAAGTGAAAATCAGGTCGCCACGAAGACAACGATAACGTAACGAAAACATCCTTAGCTTGAGCAACCCGTAAGGATAGGACAGGTGCTGCAACTCGTGGACCACTTTGATTCCGATTCTCAAGACCCGCTCTATCGCCATGCTGTCAGGAGTCAGACAAGTAGGACAAGCCTGGCCGCAATACTCCAGGTGCGGTGTAACAAAGGCCGTAAACAATTTAACAAACATTTCTTTCGTTAGGATCTCAAGCGATCTACGGATCATCCAGAGGGTATGAAAACCTCTGCAGGACGCTTTCTTCCAGTTTCGCTGGAGTTAAAGTCCTGAGACAAAGTTATCCCTAAGTCGGTTTGTTTGGATACATGAGGGATTTCATTATGGCCAAACATGTAGTGCCTTGTCGGACCAATGGGTCCTATGCGCAAAACTGAATACTCATTGTTGTTTATTGGCATTTGCCACAGAACAGACCAATCAAGGAGTCTGTCTAGAGCCTGTTGCAGACCTCGGGAGACATCGGGATCGCTCACCGTACATCGTCGTCGGCGAACATGAGGGTAGGCAGTCCCAGCACTTCTGGCAGTTCATTTACATACATAGCAAATAGCAGTGGACCAAGAACTGGTCCCTGTGGGACATCGCTCAGAACTGTTTGTCAGAAAGAAGGACTGGAGCCCACCCAAACACACATCTCTCGTGTTTGGAGAAATGCAGATAGCCATTGAAGCATGTGCCCGGAAACTCCGTAGAAACGGAGCTTAAGTGCAAGACGAGTATGCGGGACAGAGTCAAGCGCTATGGAGAAGTCAATGAATAGCACATCCACTGATTGAGCCTGATCGACAGACTCCGTCTAACTTTCCCGAGCAACCATCAAGTTCATCAGGCAGGAGTACCCTTTGCGAAAACCATGTTGAGATGGGCTGAGAAGGCCAAACATCCTTAAATGGTTTTCGAGATCATCTCTCCTCAACCTTCCTAGCAAGTTAACCAGCACATAAGTTAGACTGACAGGCTTGTAGTTTACAGGAAGATGCTTATCTCCCTTTTTTAAGATGAGACAAAGTACAGCTTCCTTCAAGTCGGTGGGTAAGGTGCAGCTGGTAAGAGACTTCTCAAACAGGCACGCTATGGGCCCACAAATTTCATTTGCCAGTTCATATAACAATTTCGGATGAATGGCATCAACATCAACGACTTTGGTAGTGTTCAGTTCTCACAGCAGTGAGAGCACCTGGGCTTCTGACATGGTGATATCGGTCAACAAAGGGTCTGCCGGAACTTTCTCCTCTAAATCGATAGTTGGTAAAGGAGACTCGAGAGTAAACGTTTTCGCATACTGCTCGCCGAGAAGGCAGGCCTTATCGTGGTCGGTATGCGCAGTAACCCCATCAGGTCCGTGCAACACCGAAATGGATGGATCCGCACGGCATCGTTTTCTGATGTAAGCTATGTTTGTTAGCTCCAGTACGTCGGCCGGTGGCCGAGTGGTCGGCACGTTTGCTTTCCAGCCATAAGGTCACCGGTTCGAATTCGCGTAGGGGTGGGCGTCCTCGCGGTATACTCAGCCCGCGCGCGACTGGTGGTGGTCGCGCGGCAGCGAAGCGCCGTTACGGCGTATAAGCTGACACATTTCATTCATTTTCATTTCAGTACGTAACAGAGCTTCACATCCCTTAGGTGCTGCTTACACTTGTTCCGTGTCGCTCGATAAAACCGCAAAGCATCATCTGACGGAGTCGAAAAGTAACTCCGCCAACAGCTGGCCCGCCTGTTTAGCAGTTGACGTGCGGTTAGATCGAAACACAGTGGCTTGGAGTTTGTTTTTCTTTCAAATGAAAGCGGAATGTGGGGAAGGGACACCTCAGAGAGGAATGCCTTGAATTTCTCCCATGCCGTTTGCAGATCATCTGCGGTCAAATGGTGCAGGTTGAATAGGAAGCTCTGGATCGCATTCGTCATCATCATCATTAGTACACGTTAGCTGAGGGTGAGAAATACACAAGTGCAAGTTCAAGCGGGACTGGAATGATAGGATTATCCCGTGATTGCACCTTCTTCAGCGGGTCGTTGAACCAGGAGTTGACAGACTTTGAAATACTGATGGATCTAAAACAAAGACCGCATCACACCCTGTCCAACCGATTAATGCCCACGTATCCTGCCATAGCAGTCCCTGCGGGACCAGTTACGTGAAATAAGAAGGGGAAAAAAGTAAACTCAGAAGGCAAAAGAGAAAGTGGAAAAAGCTAAGCAAGTAGAATACCAAGATATTTGAGTCATTAAAAGAGGAACTGAAAAGTGAAGGTGAGTCAGTTAGGAAAAAAGAAAGGTTTGGTGTTGCAACCCAAGAGAATCGAGCTGGCACGCAAAACCCATAACCGTAGGTCCCTTAAGCAAGCAATCTGAAAGAGAATTCCAGCGATCCATAACTCCGCAAGACAGACGAGTTTCCGTCCTAATCCTATCAGACCGTGATTTGTGCAATTTCAGTGGGTGACCGCGGAGATTAAGGTAACGAGATTAAATAGCCCTGACAAGTCCGGACCAATCTTACCCGTCAAAATACGATAAGTGAGAATCAGGTCCCCTCTTACCCTTCGATAATGCATGGAGTACATACCCAAACTGAGCAAGCGTGCAGGATACGTCTGTCCCCGTAGATCTTGCACTAACCGAGTGCCCACTCGTAACACCCTCTCCAAGTCTATTTTGTCTCGGTTAAGACATGGTGGACAAGCCTGAATACAATATTCCAGGTGGGATCGGACAAGTGCCGAGAATAGCTTCACAAACATTGTAGCCGTTAGGGCTCCGAAAGTGCGGCGGATAAACTTCATCATAAGAAACCCCCGACAAGCAGCCTTCTTTCAATTGTCTCCAGAATGAAGTGCTGATGAGTTTATGACCCCTAAGTCAACTTGCTGAGTGACAACAGGGAGTTCACCACCGCCGACAACATATCGGGTGGGAGGATTAGCAGCTCCGATTCGGAGAACAGAGCACTTCGCCCTATTTATGGGCATCAGCCATAAGGTAGACCATTCCCAGAGCCTATCCAAGGAACGCTGAATTGCCTCAGGACCCCCCGGGATATCCACAATATTCCAGAGCTTAAGGTCGTCAGCAAACATTAGCGATGACACTCCTAGCTCTCCCGGCAAGTCATTTACATAGATCGCGAACAACAATGGCCCCAATACCGAGCCCTGCGGGACGCCACTAAGGACAGCTTGCCTGAGCGAAAGGCTACGCCCCACTCGTACGCACTGTTACCTCCCCTCAAGGAAAGCAAAGACCTATTGAAGGGTGCGACCAGATATACCGTAAGATCTCAATTTTAGTTAGAGTCGAAGATAAAGAACAGTGTCAAAAGCTTTCCAAAAGTCCACGAACAGCACGTCTACAGAGTGGCCACTGTCTACCGCTTCGGCTCAGCTTTCACGAGATACAAGTAGATTAGTCTGACATGAAAATTCCTAACGAAATCCATGCTGCGCAATACTGAGAAGGTTGAATCTATTCAGGTGGTTCTCCACTGAATCCCTTATCAGCTTCTCGAACAATTTGACTATTACGCCTGTCAAACTGACAGGCCGGTAGTCCGCGGGTAGAGCGCTGTCACCGCCCTTAAAAATCGGACAGATGATTGCATCCTTCCATTCCGAAGGTAGGATGCAACTGTCAAGCGATAATGAAAAGATGCATGAGAGAACCACTCAGCTAAGTGGCCAATTCATGCAACAGCTTCGGATGAATGGAATCAGAACCGGAAGCTTTAGAGGGATTAGTGCCTTGCAGTAGCTCGAAGACCTGAGTCTCCGTTATGTTAAACTCAGCTAACCAAGGATCCTCTGGAACTCTTGAAACCAATTCAACCTGTGGCAAAGTGGTCTCTCGAGCAAAGATCCCAGTATACTGATCACTAAGTATACAAACCTTGTCATAGTCAGTTTGCGCACGGATCCCGTCTGCTCGCAATAACGCTGGTATAGAGTTTTGTCCAGTTGCGTCTTTTAACGTAAGCAAAAAAATTCTTGGGATTATCTGCGACCGAGTCCGCTATATCCCACTCGTACTGGAGACGAACAGTCATGAGATGTTGCTTACATTTATTTCTAATCTTTCGTAGCTATCATAGGTATTGGCTGATGGAACTGCTTGATAGGTACACCAGCATCCAGAACGTTACTTGAGTATGTATTTGCCTGTGGTATCTATCCATGGAGGCTGTGCCCGTAACCCTCTATTCCTCATAAGTGGAATATATGAAAAGCTCCAAAAGGACTGCCTTAAATTTACCCCAGACTAACTGCACAGAGTCAGCCATCAAGATCTCACAGTTCAGAACTGAAGCCTTAGCTCGGATCGCACTTAAGTCCGCCCGCCAAATATTCGGAAGCAATTCAACAGAGGTCTCATGGTGCCT